AGAATATTACAGGGAGGGAGGGGGGAGAGTATTACAGGGAGGCAGGGGGGGATAATATTACAGGGAGGGAGGGGGAGATAATATTACAGGGAGGGAGGGGAGAGTATTACAGGGAGGGAGGGGAGAATATTACAGGGAGGGAGGGGGGAGAGTATTACAGGGAGGGAGGGGAGAATATTACAGGGAGGGGGAGGTGAGGGTCTCTGGGGGGTTACACAGCGCGGACACCGGCTGACAGACTGGCTCTAAGCCCTACCCTGAAAATAAGCCCTAGTGTGTTTTTTGTGACTAAAATTAATATAAGACCCGGTCTTATTTTCGGAGAAACACGGTAGGAGGGAGTTACAATAGTCCATGCGCGAGATATCACATATTATGGATGAGACATTGTTGTATAAATCTAGGGGACACATGATCCTAACTGAGTCCATATAAGAACTAAGCATTGCACCTTATATCTGGGATTCACCATATTTCATGTTTTATTTTAATTCTGAGGAGGGTCCCCCAAACTTGAGCCAAGTAACCAGAGCTTAGCTGAGATGTTCCTTTCGGTACTTTGCAGCTATTTAATGGATTGTATCCAGGGATGAAATATTATACAAAGTGGCGCTGTTGCACACATTTTATTTAGTTAGGTTAGTGCCAGCACTTTTGTGAGTTTGTTTTGCCAGTTTATTTGTAGTCTATATTAAATGATTCATTTGGTCTGCAATGTCAGTGTTTCTCATGTTTTTTTGTGTTTGTTTCTTAACGTTTAATATTTGACATTCGGGATACAGAGATCTATATCAATATTTAAGTAAGTGTAACTTACAGGGTTATTCACTAAAGCAAAATTCAAAGTGAATTTCAAATTCAAGATATAAACAGCCAAACTAGAAAAAAAATCCTTAAGTCAGCAATGCTTCCAGTTTGGTCTAAAATCTGAAGTTCAATTTAATTTTATTTTGAGTTCACTTCAGTAAATAACCCTGTTAGTTTTATTGTGCCCCCTTTTAGCATTTTCACACACTACTGCACTTACCAGTGGTACTTGCTGAGCTTATGCACCCAAGAAGGATTGTAGTGTCCAACAGTTTTCCCTGCCTCTCTATCTTGAGTTGGCATTGATGTCAGGTGTTCAGCTGACATCTTATTATGAAAGAGAAGAGAGCTTAGAAGCTTCAAACGTGTGTTTTTTGCCCCCCCATGGATATAGCAGTCATTAGCGGAGATCACATGCAACTTATAGAGGCCAAAGGATACCGGAATAAGCACATTTTCTACTTAAGAGAGGCCACATCTGTCTATAAGGACATAATTGAAAAACCCAGTACATACTTGAAAACCAGAGAAATCTCAATGTATCCTTCCTGGTAAAATATTGTATAAATAAATAAACAAGAGAGTGAAACAATTAGGAAGGTGATTGTTTCTGTATGTGTGTGAATAACTTGTATTGTGTTGGTATCATTTACAAACTCGCACCATAACCTATTTTTTCCCCACATAAATGAAAATATCTTAGGAAATGAAACAAATGCAAAACAGTGAACTGTTCATTGTGGTAAAATAATGCTAGTCTTGGGTTCCCGAGACTTCATCTTCTCTGTTGTGGTTTGTGAAGTAATCAGGTCCCCTTGATATTTGTACACAGATTAGTCGCAGATAGATATTCCTTTTTATCTATTTTATTTTTTTTGACTGTGCAGAAGTTGGCTTTCTATCCTACTCACATATTGCACTAGTGACAGACTCCTGTGGTTTTTCCATTATGAATAGACATCTCTGTAAAATAATATTTTCTCATACTTCTTACAAATAACCATTTTTGTGATTTCTTACATAAATGTGTTTTGGGTTCCTTGGCTTGAGAACAGGGTAAATAAATAGATGATATAATAAACTTGTATTAAACAGAATTTTGATATCCTGCTTTTTTCATAAAATTGCATTTTATTTATTTATTTATTTTAAACGTTGGTATCACAAGAAGATTCTAAGCTGTACATCAAAATTAGGATGAGTAAACTTCACAATGTGTGTGTGCTCCCCTTCCTCACCAAGAAGGGGAAAAAATCTAGGTCTTTTATCTTTCTTTTTTTTCCTTTTCATTTCAACAGCAAATAACAGCAAAGCTACAGCTATCAGCATCAATTCCCCAGACTCTCCAGGGAGTTTAAATGTTTAAATGAGATTGAACTTGAGGTAGGAGCTTTCGCAAACCTCTTGGTATGGAGGACGAATATACAGCTCACAACAACCTCTAATACTTCTCCAGCTCATCACTGTGAAAGGCAGAATGAATTGTGCGGCAACATAAACTCTCGGAGGACTCTTGTTAACAAGGTAGGTGAAACCGAAACTTGTATTTAACACGTTAACTGCCAGCTCTTGTTCTGTTACATACACCAATTATTAACTCAGGAGCAAGGCTCAAATTTGTTTCACTTTCAAGCGAAAAATTGTTGGCTCACCACCTGTTGCTTGACTGAAGGACCCTATAAATGTTAGACTGTGCATCCCAGGGAATACGGAAGTGGAATACTGGTCATTCAAGAAAGTGAGGTTTTATACAAATGGAAAAAAAAAGGTTCTTAAAAAAAAAAAACTTCTTACACAAAAATTGTAAAGGGGCCGAGCAAGATGGCCGTGTAAATCTTGGATCCGGCACATGGGCTCCACAACTTTTAAATATTAACGATCAGGAATGCTATATCAGAAATCCTTAACCTACTAACCTGCAATGGCGCAATCCAAGCCTAAGAAAACCGCTGCAAAAGCTGACAAATTGAGCTTTTTCAGCCAAAAAGGAGCGACAGCATCTGAGGCCGCACGGCTAGCCACGCAAGATTGCGCCGAAAACTACAACCCGAAAAGCGCCTCTCACACAGAAGAAGAACCCAGTTCGCCACAGGGCCTTACAAGAGATTACTTTGAGAGGGCCATGGAGGCTATGGCAGAAAAACTGATCTCCACCTGGAAATCAACGGCGGACCAAAGTACGGCACCTCTCCTCCAGAACCTCCCACGTGGAGCAACAATGCTTAACTTAACATCTCAGCAAACAGAAACAAAAGACCACCTACACAGTTTACAACAACAACTGGAGGCAATGGAAGTACGCATGGCAAACTACGAAGACAGGGCACGACGAAACAACCTACGATTAAGAGAAGTCGGTACTCACAGATGACCTACAGGTCTATGTGAGAAGCCTCCTCCACTCATATGCCCCAGGCATCCAAGTGTTCATGCTCCTCATCCACAGGGTCCCCAAGCCCAGGTACTTACCAGACTCCGCTCCACAAGACGTCCTTCTCCGGGCGCACTACTTCCACATCAAGGAGTTGGCCCTCAGAACGTACCGCAGCAAACCGGACCCGCATGATCTCTCTGTGGCTACACTCAGACGAAGACGGGAGTTCCAACAGATTACAGCAACACTCCGGGATCAAGGAATTCGTTACAGATGGGGCTACCCGACAAAAATTATACTCACACGTTATGGAGAAACAAAGTCCTTCTCCACCCCGGAGGAAGGCCTAAAGATGCTGCCTCGCCGTTACCCTTTTCCAGACAGACCCGCAGGCCCCAAGTGGTCTAATCGGACTGTATGATTTAAGGCATAACTTGCCGTAAACATTCAACAACAAGCACTCTGCGATAAGCATATACAATAAGTAAACCTACCAGTGATACTGTTTTATTTTGTTTGAGTTAACAAATGATGATTGTGCATATGACCTTGCCGAAAACTTTGGGCAGCTAGTCAGAGGGCCATAAAGTTCAAAAATGACTACATAGCTACTACATAGGGCTGCTACCCCTCCGGTAACACGGCTAGAGCCACAATATAATGGCATCAAAGCACGCTTGGGCATTAGCAGAGAAGACTGGGTGGAAGGGAGACACTATATGGCTTTTAGCCACTGATAACCAACCCTAATGCACTCATAGCCCTGCGGCAAGGAATTACGTCGCCGTAAGGGGCCAACAGGGTGGATTGAAAATCCAAACGCTTACAACCGAATCTGCCCGATGGTGGTGTAAATACCCCCTCCAACTCCCCCGATGAGAAAATAGGCAACAGGCCCAACCCTGTTTCTAAACAAAAAAAAAAAAAAGCCCAAAAATGGATGAGCTGGATACCTAGCACATAGCACACCCATTGCAAAGGGTTTACCTATAAAGCATATAGCATGACTTAACCACCTTATGCATTGTTCTGTTACAACACCAAATGTACCTATCATAATGAATGCTTGTAAAATGTTTTATGCACATTGTTTGTGTACTACGTTACAAATATGTATGTTCCTGTTACACCCACTACCAAAACTGAGCCCAAGCAGCCACCGCTTGGAAGTTAAACTCCCATCCCCCAGATGTGACAGACACACCGAACCCCTTCAGGTCCAAGCACCCACGTCCTAGACCAAACCCCGACAACCTTCCCTAAAACCTTAACCCCACTTTGCCCTACAGTGAGAACAAGGCTCAACCCCGTAACTAAGCCTCCATAACTCCTAGCATCTCCCACCCCAGCCTCCAATACCAACCACCATGAAACTATACACGCACAATGTTAAAGGACTTAACACGCCCCACAAAAGACGCATACTACTAGAAGATTTGAAACGCAATAAGGCAGACATAGTCTGCATACAAGAAACGCATTTCGTTTCAAACCGCACCCCTACATTTGCCACAAGGGACTACCCACACCAATTCCATGCAACCCACACCTCCAAATCAAGAGGAGTCTTTATTCTCCTCCATAATTCCCTCACAGTCGAACCTCTCCAAACCAAAATTGATAGCCAGGGATGATTCATTATACTCCATTGCCTGATCAACAACAACCCACTCCTGCTAGTAGGCCTATACAGCTCAAACGACCACCAACACAATTTCCTACACAAAGTTCTCACAAAACTGCCGGCCGATACCAACGCCCCAGTATTAATATGCAGAGACCAAAACCATAAGATGGACTCCCGCATAGACTCCACAGTCCTCGACACCTCAAACAGACACCTTATACTCAAACGTAGCAACAAAGCATTTGCAAAATTACTACACAACCATGGACTGTATGACGTCTGGAGAACACTCCACCCAACAGCCAGAGAATACACCTATTATTCACAAGTCCACAAGACTTACTCCAGAATCGACCACATCCTCTCATCAGGTGAACAAACCGAAGACTGTTCTATAGGAAACCCATTTTAATGACACTACAAGACTGTGGCAAAACCGACCTCGCCACTGGGCATTGGAGAAGACTGATTGCCAGCCTCCTGCCATGTGACAATGGCCCTTGGGATGTATTGCCCTTTAAAGACATGATTTGGGCATAATGGATTTGTGTTGTGCTGCTGCTGGCCCTTTAAGAACCATATGGGGACATACTGTGGAGTTACTGGGTGGCCACCATTTCATGTATCAGAGGCACATGGTGAGAACAATGGATGGCGGCCATTTTAACTCACAGACACGGTGCCATCTCGCCGGTATTTGGTGCACAAAGACATCGTGCAGTAGTTTTAAACTATACAACAAGGGACACATTATACAGTAATTATTTTTCATATAGCCTGTATATGTTCTGCGGAATCTGCATTAAACTGTATCTTCCAAACTACTGAACGAATCTGGGTGAATTTTGGATATGTGGTTCACCCAGATACCCCGGTTCCGAGGATATACTTTAATGGAGTTATTGCATGTTTTGGGGTCCCTGTGATATGTTTTATAATACTGCATTTCTCTGCCTGTGATAATTATATGAACCATTGTGTTCAGTAATCATATCACAGGCAGAGGGGAGGATTTTGTGTGGGAGTGTATGTGTGTATTGTACGGATTAATTGGTTGTATTTCAAAACCCTGTGGGCAGTACTATGTTTGTGGATTGTGAATAAAAGAGGCTGTATGTGCCAGTACAGGCAGTTCTGCTTGACCTCAAAATGAAGTGTCGTCTCGTTATTGGGGGAATTGGATTGTGTGCTGATTGCCAGGAGTGTAAGCTGATTGTATGCTTTTCCGGTTCAGCTACTTACAGCATTCATATGCTTGAGAGCATTCGTATACTTCTCCGATTCGGTGGTTGTGGTGTCTGCTGCAGTGCTTGGAGTCCTCCGGAAGCGCTAGGAGCATCCTTCAACGGAGGTACCCAGTCGGGGTGCCAAGTGATCCGTTACAAAGACCAATACCAACATAGGGGCAAACCTCCATGGCGCCTCAATGATACGCTCTTGAACGACAACGCATTCGCACAGCAACTCACCCACCGACTACAAGACTATTTTGAACTAAATGACACCTCCAGACGTTTCTGTGGCATCCCTATGGCAGGCTTATAAAGTGGTCATGAGGGGAACGCTAGTTAGCTGAGCATCTTACCTTAAAACGCAAGCGAGAAAAGGAGCACATAGACCTCTTGAGGAAACTCCGAGATACAACAAATGCTCACCTTCTGAACCCCTTTGATACACACACCGACACCATTAAACATATAACCAGTCAAATTAACCGCTTGAACTTTGACAAAACAGCTTACATGCTCACGAAACTAAAAATGAAAACATACACCGAAGGCAACAGAGCGGGGAAGCACCTAGCACTGATGCTAAAACAAAAACTAAGCAAACTCTAAGATCCCATACCTGATCACAAAAACAGGGGAGAAACTTCTTAACCCACAATATATTAATGATGAGATGGCTGATTACTACCAAAACCAGTACAACCTAAAAAGCGACACTACTGTGCACCAACCTACGGAACACGAAATAGACACCTTCCTCCGACGGAAGACACTACCAACGCTTTCAATTACCTAATCACAAGCCATACAAGATCCAATAACCACACAAGAAATTTTAGAAACAATACAGGCACTCCCACCAGGAATATCACCAGGCCCGGATGGCCTAACTAATTTATATTACAAACAATTCGCATCAATCTTAGCCCCTTATCTACGGAAATTGTTCACTCACATTCTTAACACAGGAACTATGCCGCAGGAAATGCTGATGGCACATGTTGCCACCCTCCCGAAAGCGGGGAAACCACTGGACAGAAGCCAGAACCTCCGCCCTATATCCTTACTGAATACGGACGTGAAGCTCATCGCAAAAAGTTTCTTAAACAGACTAGCACCTGTTATTCTGACCTTAATTAGAGGGGACCAGGTTGGGTTTGTGGGGGGTAGGCAGGGAGCAGATGGCACACGCAAAATCCTAAACATGCTACACGGGTTGCGGGGAGGGAGGGTCCCAACTGTACTACTCTCCTTAGACGCAGAAAAAGCCTTCGACAGGCTCCACTGGCCCTTCCTCCTCGCGGTCCTCCAAATATTTGATTTCCCGCCCCAATTCCTATCAATAGTCACAGCGCTATACTCAGCCCCAACAGCTCGAGTAGTAAACGGGGGATTCATATCCAAACCATTCTCTATTTCAAATGGCTCTAGACAGGGCTGCCCACTCTCCCCCCCTACTCTACATACTAGCATTAGAACCCCTAACACAACTAATAAGAGACAACCCAAATATCCACGGAGTCACACTCCAGGGACAAGAATACAAAGTATCCCTATTTGCCGACGACATCCATCTCACATTAGAACAACCCCATATATCCCTCCTGAATTTCCACCAACTCCTCACCCAATACAGCCGCTGCTCCAATTACAAATTAAATATCGCAAAAACCCTAGCCCTGGGGATCAACGTTCCAGTACAAGACATGGCACAATTAAAAACCAACTTCACATATGACTGGAGGCATGGTCAGATAAAATTTCTGGGAGTAAACTTCACACCCACACCTAACACGCTATTTAAAGCAAACTATATCAAACTGCTTGGTGAAATCAGAACACTTATGCAGGGCTGGAAGGGGAAATTCATCTCCTGGGCAGGCAGAATAGCTTCCGTGAAAATGGTTGTTTTACCTAAAATCCAATATCTATTCAGAACATTACCGATTCAACTCCCGCACAAATATATCCAGAACCTGCAAAACCTTCTAAATGACTATATCTGGGAGGACAAAAAGCCCAGAGTGGCGAAGACAACAATGTACCGAACATTCGCCAAAGGCGGGATGGGTCTGCCAGATATGGGATACTACAGAGCAACCCACATAGCACCTTTACTAGCATCACAGCAACAGCACGAACCAATGGCATGGACTGAGATGAAAAAGAATTATGTGAATGGTCTATCCATTTCAGCATTAACCTGGCTAACTAAAACCCAAAGACCAAAACTCCTTGAAATGCTGCCCACAACCAGGCTCACCATCTCAATGTGGGACAACTACCGGAAACGTATGGGCAACAATGTCCTGTTATCCCCTGCCTTCCCACTGGAATCGATGAAACTCCTCTATACCGGACTTTAACCACAAACTTTGGCATAGACACGGCATAAAAACATTCTCACAGCTACTACAAGGCTCCCACCTGAAGCCATTCCCAGACCTCCAGCTGGAATACACGCTACCCATCACAGCTATGTTTTCATATAGACAACTACAATCCTGGCATGCCCTGCAACCGAAACAGATGCTCACCCATGACACAGACCCAAGCTGGCATACT